GTGAAAAGTGCTTGGAACAAGGAGGGGGACACTTTCAGCAGCTGCTTTAATTTATTGTTATAACAAGGAGGGGGACACTTTCCGCAGCTCCTTTAATTGTTTGTTATTGTTATCACGATTAGTCTTTAAAATAAAGTTATATAGTCATTAACGTTATTGAAACTGACAGCTGCTATACAGCTCGTTGAGAAATGAGGTTAAGTTGGTCGCTATAAGCTACACCCTACGTCCAATGTGTCAGAGCCAACTTCGACCACGTTTTTATTTGAACGCTCGTTATATATATAATACGGATTATCTGGTTAAATAAATATGTTTTAAATAATTCTAATAAAGGGACAATTTTGTAAACGGAGAAGGGAATTTGTTTTTCTCATAAGTTGCATGTAATGTTTTTATAAACAATCTTTTACGTACATATGGTAAAGTATTTGATTTTATGCAGAATTAAATGACATATTAAGTAATTATTGAATATTCATTATACCTAGCCTCGCAATCAGCAGGGGTGGTACTTCAAAAAAACTTAGTTATAAATGAGATTAGTGTCAGATCAGAGTCAGTATACACGCCTTAATTATATTAAATCATTTATTACTACAATTAGTGAGAGTTCTGTAATGGTGATAAATTAAAATTGTTGCTTGCAAATAATATTTTTCGAAAAGTGTCATCAAAAGTCGACATTTTCGTTAAATTTCCAGTTGCCACTCTTTTTTGTCACCTAGCTGGCAGAAGGGACAGTTGACGAATTTATGGTCTACGAATACTTTATAAAAATAATATGTAGAGACTAGAGAACAAAAAATTCCTTTAAAAATGTGTAGATATATTAATGATATGTATAAAGCTACACTTATGGTATTAAGAACTATTTCTTCAAACTGAATTAAATTCGATTCGCTAATCCCTATAAAAGTAGATCAAAAAAACATTGTAATAGGCTAGTTGACACCACCAAGCGTTGATATACTTTTTACGTTACGTTACGTTGCGTTACAAAACGCAATTTTTCCAAAGATTATTGAAATATAATGCAAATTAAAAGCGTCAACATAGTAGTCGTAAGGTACTTTAATTTTTTTTCGACATGTTGCACCCCTTAAACTTTAATGNAAAAATTATAGGAAGGACTAGTTTTATTTTGACCTCCCCTATACACTCCCGAGAGATTAGGAGGTACTTACCGGACACCCTGTATATGATCATTACGACTTCACTTTTATAAAAATATTATGAAAGAGACGGATTACTTTATTTTCCATGTAAACATTTATATCAAACAGATGCTTATCATACTATCTCCTCTTTCTATCAACAACGTTTTTTATAGAACCAGGATTCTTATTCATTAATTTAAACCCAGACATCACACAGTAAATAAAATCCGTTGTTTGTTCAAGATCATACTATTAAAAAGAGTACAGATATTGTCTGTTTCAGGTTTATTTTCCTTACAAATACACGTAGTCGTTGAAGTTTATAGAGAAACGAGAATGATTTATAAACGTTGCAAAATAATTTTATTCGATAGTCTTTGCTGTACTCTAATTTTACAAAAATATCTTAAACAATTTACTTAATACAACGACGGCAACTAATTTTACAAACGACAATCCAACCATGTTTGCGTTACCAGGAGTGGTAATAGCATCTTCAGTTGTGTCCTCAGCGTATATTTCAAAGTAATCCAATAAATCGTCTTTAATATTTACCACCCATTCCAGTCTTTCCTTAAACGATTTTAGAGCTGATTGCGCAAGAGCTTTAACAGAGGATTCCACATTTCCTTGCGAAATAAAAGTTTCTAACTGAAATAAAATAAAAATTGATTTGAAAATGCATCCTAAACTCTTTGATGATATCAAAGAAACAACTTCTATGCGCTAGCACTCACTTTCTTCAACTGTTCTTCGTTGGTGAACCTTTCTATGACAGAAATAAGGATGGAATCAGCGGAAGGGTAACTAAAAAAAATGTGTTTATGTTCTTTAGAATAGTTTACTGCACACGGTACTCACTAAGAAGCCATCTTCGTATAGTTCTCATATAAATAGTCGAAAGCTACGTCCACACCTTCGGAACTGCCGGTGTATACGGCAAACCAAACATTTGGTACATCATCCAAGTTTATGCCTGATGAGCTGCTTAGGGATTGATCCAAGTAACTGAAATATATAAAATAAGTTGCACTACAACTACGACTCGCACAAATCATTAATTTATGAAGTAAATAAGGAAGAAAATAAAAGTGGTACAAATGATAAGGAGTTCAAATACGTCTTAAGATGGAAGAATCCCTTCTTCCAATTATTGACAAAAGAAAGGATCTCTTGAATGGGGAGAGAATTTGAAGAAATGTATTATTAGTTTTTTCTTCAAAGGACCTTCTTCCATTAGTATAGCAACAGGATCTGACTTGGAAGTCATTTTTTTTTCTGGGACTGTTTTGTACTTACTGTTTTAGAACTGCTGTGTCCTTTGTGCATCCCAAGGCGGTAATTATAGTTTCTCGTTCAGAGGTTAGCGTTTCGCTTTGAAGACTTTCCCACAAGAAGTTCCAGTCAGAGGTGGCAGAGTCGCTGTATCGCAAAGCGTTGCAGTAAACAAATCCCCGCAGGTTTTTGTCGACGCTAAAAAATGTTGCCGTCTTTCGAATATTAAATTGCAAATGAAAATTAAAGAGACAGTTATACCATAAACAATCCTCAGAAGACGTAAGAGAGAGGTTTCATTATGTTGAATTGAAATTTTATGGGTTTGAATTTCAAGTTGACAAATAAACAAACGGTTGTAACATTTTTTCCCAAGACATTGATTAAAAAATTGGATGCGAAGCTCAGTTTTTTTTTTAAACACTCAAGAAAAGGGTTATGGAAATATGTAATTTCATTACTATGAAGAAAAGACTATTTTATCTTCAAACCAATTTCCACTTCAATGCTATCAAAAGTGTGTTTCAATATTTCTAAACATTCATACATAAAATATTCGTAATTTAAAAATGAATCTTATTTATACCCAGTTCCGGCTTTGTATTGTTCAAACAAATCCTTCGCATTCGAAATGCACGATTGTTCAGCAAATTTGCAAACTGCATTCGATATGGTCAGTAGCTTCAAAATATATACTTGATCCTCCGGATTTACTTCAGTAAACGACAAGCTTTCGTATATACTTTCTGTTAATTCTAAGACCATCGACGAAATCTCAGAGCCCAGAACAGAATCTTCTCCAAGCTGCATCAACAGGTAGTTAAAGTTGGTTATGGCGGAATGCCAGGGATAGTATTCTGTTTCGTATTTTAAATATTTTATTATATCGAAAGCATAGGAATAGTCCAGTATATTTGCTCTTGCTAGATTCAGTAAATCATCTACGATTTGGGCCCTGTTAAGCACGTGGATGGAAGTGTGGTTAGTGACGAGGAGGTTCTTGACCTTCTCCCATAGGGAGTTGTCATAGTTTACTCTATAGTAACCTGAAATGGAAACTGAGATTAATAAAGTTTCTGTCAACATGATTACTTTATTTTAAAAAGTTTTTATTGTTTTTACACATACATATAGTGATTATTATTATACAAATATGATTTCTTAATATAGATTGAAGATGATCTATAGGCAATGGCAGTTTTGCATTTCATAAGCACTGGGTGCCATAAAATTTCCTTCCTATTTCAGTCCAACTTTATAGTGACAAATTAATTTTATTATCGAACAAATAAGTGATAGTCTTCAATGTACTATTTTTGACAAATTAGTAAAATATGTAGCATGTTTTTAACAATGATTGCCAATAATTAATATTAACGGTTTTCAATTAATTGTCATTGATAATATTAAGACTTACGGAAAATTATTTTATTTAATGATATATCAGTTACCTGTTACTGACTTGCTATATGCATATTATACTAGTTTGATCATTATATTGTAATACTTTTTTTCAGCCCGAAGATTTACGAATCTAGTTGCGTTTAAATAAAGATGTTCAAGGAATGAAGACTTTATTATTTGGTTTTTATAACAAATGGTATCATATGGGAACACAGTCTTGTTTATCATTATTTTAAAGTCATCATCTTATTATACGAAAATGTTCTAGAAACAATTCCGATATCATTCCTGTACATATAGTATCACTTAACGTAGCTTTATTTGTCTATGTTAAAAAAATAAATAAATAACGTGATTAAAAAAATAAATAATCTGTAATTCGTTATCAGTATTTCATTATTATTAGTGTTGTTGAGAAAAATACCATAATCATATCCGACAGTGCAATCTAAGATACATATTATTTAATTTTAATCTGTTATTGTGATCAGTTATGTATACATTTATATAAATTTTAGCTCCAGTATTTTAAATTCCTTGTAAATTATAAATTTTATCTAAAATTATAGCCGAACTAATCTGAGAACGTATTTTTTAATGTTCAACTATAACAAACCAGTACTATGATCTCATGCAAAGAATGTGCAATTTTGTTTATTTACCAACTTGCTGATTGTTGAGAATTATCCATTCGTTTTCTTCAAGGATATCATAAAGAGTTTGACTTGTTCCAGGTGTCAACCACACTTTAGTTGTGGTGTTCTCAAATTTGTTGAAATCTTCGGAAAGGGTATAAGTGATAGGCACGTACCATTCAGTGAAATCTTCTTCGCCAGAGTATAGAAATCTTTGCTGAAAGGAGCAACATAAAGAGATATAAGGGATTCTCTTTAAAACTATTAAATACAGGAAACTTTTATAGGGAAAAACTTGTAATAATCTATGAACAATTTACCAAAGACTGTACCTGAGTCAAAACAATGTTGTTGCCTTTAGCTGTGACTGTGACAAGAGGAAATCCTGCTTTTTCAGTCCAGCTGGTCATAGCACCGTTCAAATTTTCTGTTGAAGGCATCATATCCCTAGTTGTAAAGACGCCAAGCTGGTTCCATACATATATAGGTATTATTACACTGCCATTACTAAAATAACAATAAATTTATTTAAAAATATGGTTCTTGGAACGTAGAAATAAAAATATATTGGCGTCTTATATTAAGAATAAAGTGAAAATATACTGATGTTTCCCAAAATTCATTGAGAATTAAATTTTGTGTGATAGCTACAATACTGGAATTTAAAATAAATGTATCAAAAGGCATTGTTTCTCAACTCATATCCCGTAATAAACGCTATACTCACTATATAGGCAAAAAATAACGAACGCCCTTTTGGAAATTTTCAGGTCCCATAACATGTTGTGCCATTCTAATTATGCTTGCAGCTGAAACAAATAAAGAACTTAGATATCTGCAAATACCCTTAAGTGGTCAATTTGGACCTCTTGACGTTTCAAGAGACTTATCACATTCTTCTTCCAGAGAAACTGGACATTAAGTCTGCTTGCCGGTATTCGCAATATGGATCCAGATCGTTTTAGGTCCTTGTCTCAATGGAAATTATTTCTATTCTTAGATTTCTATTGCTTCTTTGTTGACAAAAACTCTCAATCTTACCTATCCAAAACACAGAACCCAGTGTATAAGAAAACCAAAAATATCCCGATCAAGAATGTTGAGAAAGAGGTGTGATGTAAAATTTCCACGACACCATTTAGGTACTTTATTCTAACGGATTCTAACACAATGTTTGATATATTTTACCTACCTCAACTAATTTTTGTTCGAAAACTAATACATCTTATATTTTTCAAAAAAACGTAAGTGATTTAACTCCTTTCGGAGGTCTTGTTTCTTACCTTTGCTGTAAGCCAATGTATTAAACTTTGTTAAAATCTCTGGAGGAGTTTCTACTGGGTACGACAACGCTGAAGCTGATGACAAAGCGTCTAATTTTAACGAGGATTGCAACTGATCGATCACAAACTGATTTTCCAGTTCCCAACTTTTAAATTCGTCTACCTGAAAAATATTTATAGTCAAAAAAGGAAAGTTAAAATCAAAAATAGTCATTAATTTACATCCAGATCTTATGAAATATATAAATTTTAAAATCTATTACCTCGGCAGCCGCGTGGTATTGGTAGAACCTAGAAAAACCAAGATTTAGAAATGTGTAGTCCCACCAACTTGCTGTTTCTAAATTCCCGAACCAATTGTGGGCTAGTTCTAAAAACAGATCCATAGCCTTATTTCTGTAAGCAATCGAAGACTCTCTGGTGTTCCACAAGAGAGATGATTCTCTAAAAACAAGAATTAGTTTTGTTTTTATTTATTTCTAACTGAAATAAATATAATAAAATCATTAAAGTATACTAGGAATTCAATAGTCTTCCATCAAGTTGCTTTTTTTACTTACCTATATGTAGTAAGTCCCCAGTTCTCCATATAATTCGCTGTATAACCTGGAATGGCCACTTGGTCCAATTTCCCCAACAAGTGGTCGCTATAATTGAGAGCGGTTATATTTTCCAGCCTTTGAACGAATGGAGGTCCTAAGTCAAGGGCGAGTGTCCGATCTCCTTCTAGTTCTTGTCTGGAGCAGACTTGGTAAGGAATACTGTTATTAATATCCTTCCCTTTGGAACAGGTGAGTTTCGAGAGAATAAATCCAACCAGATACGTAGACATAACCGGGGTTTCCTTGAAAGTAACTTTCTCGTAATAGTCACTGCAATTTAAAGAAACAAAAATCATAGCGAAAAAAATTAGTGTTATGTTTTTATACTTACTCTATCTCAATTGTTTCACCAGCCTGCACAGCGTTGCCTAGAGCGGTCAAACCCTTGGGATAGATGATGCTGATCAGAAAAGTTGCCTTCATTTTTGGTTCGTCGAAGCTTGGAAAAGCGAAACGAGCGTACGTAGGTTGAAAGTGAGTTGCGACAAAATACTGAGTGTTTCCAACTTCATCTACGTAGCTGCTCCTGTAAACTCCAGTCATACTACCTGTGTTGATCGTGGATGAGTACTCAATGATCAGTGTGTAGTCGTGTGTATAATTCAATTTCTCCTTGGCTGTGATTGTGTAGATATGTGTCACCGGATCGAAAGTCTCTTCTTCTATGGGAACAGGATAAGTTTGATTGTCTATAAATTGTTTTGATTTAATGGTAACTGGAGCATGGAATTGGATGCTTTGAATGGACCTAGCCACCATGAAATTTATTGTTAGCGATCCATTGAAGTCGACGCTGGTACCTTCGAATATTTCCTTTTTAAATTCCAAATCTAAGATGTATTTTTTAGGTGTTTGATGTTCTATCAGTCTATATGAGACTGGTTCATCATCCGCTGTTGAATAGCCAAAGATGTAGAAGAATAACGTGGAGGAAAGCAAAAGCAATTTCATTTTTTACCTAAAACCAAATAATATTATATAATATACACTATAAAATTAAGAACAGCATTATAAATACTACGAAAAAGTACCTTTGAAGTAAAGTAAAAGGGGCAAAATATTCCCCTCCACATACCATTGATGTATGGAATGAATTGTTTGAAAGTGGTTTTTGTTCCACATGGCAAGAAATGACCTACTAATCTGTAGTGATGCTTTCATAACACCTACAGACATTCTTTGTCAGCAGAAAATTTAAAATATGACATATACTTTGTCTCTCATCTACAGCCAAAACCGTGTTGTATATCTTCTAGTTATTTAGGCAAATCTGTTTGTTCCAATTTGTCACAGTCTCTACACGTGAAAGAACTAAACCAGACTAGCGGTGTAATAAAAAAATAAAAGCTGCAAGTGTAACAAAGAAAGATCTTATGCTTTGAAGGCAGCTCTATTCCTATGTTTTTTTTTTAATTTCTAGAAACTTTTAAAATAATATGTATTACTTTTACTACAAACAGATTTAGTTTAAGTTGTAGAAAAATGAGTAATTATTAAAGATTTGTTTTAAAAATGAAAAAATTAATATCTAATTTTTTGTATTTCTAAAATAAATTGTACTAAAACTAAATTCAAAGATATATCCAAAAACTCTTCTAAATTAGTACATATTGCAAATTTTCTATGGTGAAAAAAGAATCTCCTATATTAAGTTACTACTTACCTTTGTAGAGTAAAATTCACACTAGAGTATTATAAATTTTCAGCCTATTTCCATCCTTCCCTTATCTTATAAAATCAATTACTCGTAATTATTAAAAATCCTTTTGCCTAATCCTTTGTCAATTTTGTAACAGATATGGTAGGTATTGTTTTCTGATTCGCACGTCTGGAAAATTGATAGTTGAACCGGTTTGAGCTATTTTTTAAGTATCTTGCACGGATAAAAGTCATCCATCAAACACAACAAAGAACAAAGGTGCATGCATGTAAGCCTTATTTATATATGTGATGTACATGGTGATCACAATACACGGTTGAGCTGTTGAGAGCTCCTAAGAGAACCGAAGGAATAGTTAGCATTTGAAAGTGCTGAAATAATTTTTTAAAAGATGTCTTTCCGAGTACTTTAAAATTATAAATTTTTAAAAAACTAAATTGCAAATTGATAAATAAAATAAAAAAAAGAGTTAATTTTAAAAATTTACTGTAGCCGTCCTAATCAACCGATTTAAATTTTTCAAAAACCATTTTAAGATGTTGAGCGGTCTTTTCTATGTGAAAAAATTTTCAAGTATCTAGATGCTTTATTTGAAGCTGTGCAACATTTTGAAAATTCGAAAATTTTTTTCAAAATTTTTTACAAAAAATTATTTTACGAAAACTATTGAACCGATTTTAATGAAATTTGGTATGTTGTTTTATTATATCTAAATAACTTGATTATTTTGCCTTTCTTCCATGAATTATAGCTATTTTGCAACGGTAATAAATTTAAACATTTTTAACTCACAGTATATTATGCAAAATTCAATTCTAAGACTTTTTTTCATTTTCAATATTCTTCCAAAATGCATAGGTTCCAAGATATAAGTAAAAAATTCAGATAAAATAGGTATTTTTTAAAACATTTTTGCAATTTTGAAAATGTTCCGGACCTCGCCCAGATCTAGAGATCTACACTTTTATTATGTGAGTTGTACTGAAGGTATTCCAGCAAAAATTAGCTTGCTCCCTCTTACATCTAAGCAGTGGGATATTTCGACAGATCC